GTGTTACGGTGACGTTCTATAACTTTCCCCAAGTGCTCGGTGTTTACTATTTTATACTTCTTTACTGTAGTTGTTTACTTTCATTATCCTTATTTCAACATAATCTGTGTATTGTAAAACTGTTCTAGAACGTCTTGTTTATAGCCCACTAATTATGAGCTCTACGTATACAGCCAGCAGAGAGGCAGCATTCACTTTCGCCATCTCAGCAGCTGGGCTGGTTCACGTGATTTCAAGATCCTGCCGTGATGGCAAGCTCTCGAGCTGTGGCTGCGGCCGAGCTCTTAGGCCTAAGACGCTTCGCCGCGACTGGATTTGGGGAGGCTGCGGTGACAATATAGAGTACGGTTATCGTTTTACTGAAGGATTTGTTGACGTTCGAGAGAGAGAAAACAAATACACGATCGGATCCACTGAGCAAGGAAGAAAACTGATGAATCTACACAATAACGAAGCTGGAAGAAGGGTAAGTTAAGTACGATACTATCAGACATATTGTAGGCAATACATGTATAATTATACCGAATAACGTAGACGATATTAAAACCTAACTTTACAGTTTTCACTTACGTAATCTGCATTTCATTGATAAAAAAAATATAATTAATTATCCAAGTTTAGTCTTCATTCTAAAAATAATAAAAGTTATTGAGTTATTATTTATGTGATTCGTTATACACTGTCTTGTTTAATGGTTTGAATTGAAGAATGAAAAACTTAAAACAGGTTGTGTAGAAACATGTGGCGGAGTGTGTTTTTATGAAGAATTATTGCTAGCTTTATTAATACGCAACTAGCACTTCTGATTTAAAATATTGTGCTCATGGAACTGAAAAAAAAATGAAGGATTTGTGGACTTACAACGTTAGAATCCGGGTTTCGATACCCGTGGTGGGCAGAGCACAGATAGCTCATTTTATAGCTTTGTGTTTAATTACAAAGAAACAAACTTTTGTTTCTGCTGTTCATTCGTCTTATTTTGTCTAATTCCATATGAACGAACGATTAACTTGAAGACTTTTTATACTACATATATATTTATTATCTGCTATTCTCTACGCCAGTTGCAACGAGACAAATGTTATAAAACAGTTTTATTTCTAACAGAATGATTATGTGCGTGTTCCGGGAAAAAATGAGACGTTTTGTCATGTTTATGTTATCAATCAAAATAATGATGCGAACCTATCATTGAGACTCGTCCAATTTAACAGATCAGCGGAGCATGTTCTGGAGGGCACGAAATATAAACTGTTCTTATCATGCACTTAATTAACCGACAGTTATCATTAGCCGATTTGAACGTGGCTCGAGACAGAAGCTTTGTCAGTTATCATTAGCCGATTTCAACGTGGCTCGAGACAGAAGCTTTGTCAGTTATCATTGGCCGATTTCAACGTGGACGTCTGTTAATGGAAACTTGAGCAGTGTCGTTACTCTAAAAATAATTTATAGACAGACATGAATTAAGAACCTTCTTTTGAGATGCTCCGACCACAGATAACCTGTAGACAGTTCAGCTATGATTGTCCATTATCATTTGTTATGCACACTTCACCATAACTAATCTTGTCTATCTCACTATTCTTCACGTTGAACGGACTTCACTCTAGTTAACCCTGTCTGTCTGTGTATTCTTTATGTTGAACAGACTTCACTCTAGTTAAACCTGTCTGTCTGTGTATTCTTTATGTTGTAAAGACTTCACTGTAATTAACCCTGTCTGTCTGTGTATTCTTTATGTTGTAAAGACTTCACTGTAATTAACCCTGTCTGTCTGTGTAGTCTGTATAACATAAAGATATTCACTGTAGTTAACCCTGTCTGTCTGTGTATTCTTTATGTTATACAGACTTCACTGTAGTTAACCCTGTCTGTCTGTGTGTTCTCTATGTTATACAGACTTCACTGTAGTTAACCCTATATGTCTGTGTATTCTCTATGTTATACAGACTTCACTGTAGTTAACCCTGTCTGTCTGTGTATCCTTTATCTTATACAGACTTCACTGTAGTTAACCCTGTCTGTCTGTGTATTCTTTATGTTATACAGACTTCACTATAGTTAAACCAGTTTGTCTGTGTATTCTTTATGTTATACAGACTTCACTATAGTTAACCGTGTCTGTCTGTATTTTCTTTATGTTATACAGACTTCACTGTAGTTAACCGTGTCTGTGTATTCTTTAGGTTTTACAGACAAGACTGTCATTGTTTTTTAGTTTACTAGACCAGAAAAATAGTTTTTCGTTGCTTCTTAGAACAATTTGAGACGTTTCTGTTTGAAACCATCGCCATCAGATTCGTTTTAGTTTTGTTGTTTCCGTATTTAAGTTGCACAGTAAACCTCTCTTTTGTTCCTAGGTTGATCTATCAACTTCTAGAAAATAGCTCATTCTTACTATGCAGGTCTATAATTATTGTTCTTTATTTTATGATTACCAAGTACAATGAAGTTATACATCATGGAGCATCTGGAATTAACACGCTGGAAATCTTCATGTTGTAACTAAAACCGTCTCGATGTTTTGAACTAATTAAGACCATTAAAAGTATTCAGAAACCGAACATTTATCACTTCGTTTATTGCAGTTTCGTTGTTTGTTTTGGATATTTCGTGAAACAGATGAATGTACAGAGATGTGACTAGCCTTCAGAATACTTTAACCTGCTCTGCCTTGGAATGTCGTACAACATCTGAATTATAAATATTGCAAGGTAATTTGCCAAACGTATAAATAGAATACAAATCGTGAAGGATGTTTTGTTTTGGGATGTACATTTGAGGTACCAAGAATCACAGAACAAATGCTGAAGTATCGCCCACGTGATTATTTCTCCATTGGAACGATATGAAATTTTTATTTATTTCAAATACTAACTAAACACAGAATAAGATAGAGCAACACAATAGTTTAAAGTGTCATCATGGAGTTCCAGAACAAATAAATAATGTAGTTTAAAGTGCCGTCATGGAGTTAGGGAACAAACTAAAAAATGTAGTTTAAAGTACCATCATGGAGTTACAGAACAAACTAAAAATGTAGCTTAAATTGCCGTCACTGAGTTACAGAACAAACTAAAAAAATGTAGTTTAAATTGGCGTCATGGAGTTACAGAACAAACTAAAAAATGTAGTTTAAAGTGCCGTCACTGAGTTACAGAACAAACTAAATAATGTAGTTTCAAGTACCATCATGGAGTTACAGAACAAAGTAAACAATATAGTTTAAAGTGTCATCATGGAGTTACAGAACAAACTAAAAATGTAGTTTAAATTGGCGTCATGGAGTTACGGAACAAACTAAATAATGTAGTTTAAAGTGCCAAAATGGAATTACAGAACAAACTAAATAATATAGTTTAAAGTGTCATCATGGAGTTACAGAACAAACTAAATAATATAGTTTAAAGTGTCATCATGGAGTTACAGAACAAACTAAATAATATAGTTTAAAGTGTCATCATGGAGTTTCAGAACAAACTAAATAATATAGTTTAAAGTGTCATCATGACGTTACAGAACAAACTAAATAATATAGTTTAAAGTGCCGTCATGGAGTTACAGAACAAACTAAATAATATAGTTTAAAGTGTCATCATGGAGTTTCAGAACAAACTAAATAATATAGTTTAAAGTGTCATCATGGAGTTTCAGAACAAACTAAATAACATAGTTTAAAGTGTCATCGTGGAGTTACAGAACAAACTAAATAATATAGTTTAAAGTGTCATCGTGGAGTTACAGAACAAACTAAATAATATAGTTTAAAGTGCCAAAATGGAATTACAGAACAAACTAAATAATATAGTTTAAAGTGTCATCATGGAGCTACAGAACAAACTAAAAATGTAGTTTAAAGTGTCATCATGGAGCTACAGAACAAACTAAATAATATAGTTTAAAGTGTCATCGTATAGTTTAAAGTGTCATCATGGAGTTACAGAACAAACTAAATAATATAGTTTAAAGTGCCAAAATGGAGTTACAGAACAAACTAAATAATATAGTTTAAAGTGTCATCATGGAGTTACAGAACAAACTAAATAATGTAGTTTAAAGTGTCATCATGGAGTTACAGAACAAACTAAATAATATAGTTTAAAGTGTCATCGTGGAGTTACAGAACAAACTAAATAATATAGTTTAAAGTGTCATCGTGGAGTTACAGAACAAACTAAATAATATAGTTTAATACATATATAGTGGAATTCACAAGAAGTAAAATGTGAAATAAAAAGATAAACGTTCTTTAGTAGCAATTACTGTTTAGATACATAGCCCTACTTTTCTGGTGTTTTAGAAGCACGCACCGTTCTTTTTTTTACACCACTAAAGCACCAGGACACCTGACTGCGTTGTGTAAGAAAAGCAAAAACAAAAAGTTGTCGTATCGCGATAAATAATTGCACTAATGCGTGTCATTTTCTTTGTTATTCAACCAATCAAGAAACTGTGCCAATTTCTTAGTCTTTCACAAAAAAACTAGACTGGAGATTAGTAGCTGGTAACGAGGTTTCGTGCATATTGTAAATGAGTGTGATAAAGTTACCTGGCTACGTTAAGAGAATACTAACGTTCGGGATTCCTATTTAATCTCTCTTAGCCTAAGAGTAACCGAGAATCTTTTAGGCGTCACTGAGCAGGTATCTGATTGGTTAAGAGATTGAAACTGAGCAAATTGATTGGTTGAGAGATAGCACACTCGTTACGAACCGTTACAAAAACTAGTTCGGTTCAACATGAGAAAGTTATGATCTGAGGTTGTCATGACCGATATCCATAAACTTGGAGATCTTATCTGAGGCATAAAGAACACGTACAATTGGATAGTTCTGTTCTAATATTAGCCTTAATTGCAAATACACATACTTTACGATGTTTAATATAATGGATAATAAGTAGTTTTAGTGAGGTGAAAAACAGTCGTAATAAATTATATTCATCAAATGAATGCAATATAAAGGCGAAAAGATGGATCCAAAGACCTGGGGTTCGATTATCCCTAGACGCTCCACGTTTAACCTCTTGGTTAAAAGATGGATCCAAAGACCTCTTGGATACGGTGGGGTTCGATTATCCCTAGACGCTCCACGTTTAACCTCTTGGTTAAAAGATGGATCCAAAGACCTCTTGGATACGGTGGGGTTCGATTATCCCTAGACGCTCCACGTCTAACGTCTTGGTTAGAAGATGGATC